GCTGCGGGGTTGGGGACTATGTATGCTTTACAGAGTGCCTCGTCATTGCACAGACATTTTCTTGAAGTTGGCAGGGGACCTGTGTCATCTACCCCGTTCCATGACCCAACTTATCCTTTCACGGGAGACTTCTTGAGGTGGTGACCACTCTAATGGCTTTTAACTGCTCGAGCCGCACCCACCCATATTGCAGCTCTTTTGGCTTCCAAGATGCCCTGTTAGCAATAGCTTCCACCTTATGCACACACTCCACAGGCGGGGCCCTGCGGCAAAGTCTACTGCGGCCACCCAGACAACAGGCTTATGGAGCTGCCTGCATCTTGCTCTAAGGGTTTTCCTTTATGACAAATGACACAAAAAACAGAAACAAGGGAAAATAGTGACTGTCTCCGGGAGGAGAAGGATCAATAAACCAATGAATATTCAGTAGCTCCCTACTGCTTACCTGTAGCTGAAAGTCGCCCAATTCAGGAGAATGCAGCCTAAGGGGTTTCAGGTGGGGATCAAATTAGTGTTTCCCATTGTTTCAGAATTTAGACATGACTGGTGAAAAGTATATTTATGCTGCAACTACAATCAGATTGCGAAAATTTAAAGCATCCCTACAATCAAGAACTTTACAATGAATGCCCAGACAAGGCTTTCTTCAGATAGCCAATATAATTCCCCTGAGGCTGACGGCAGTTTGGTAGGATTCTTAGCCACAAACAGGAGTACAACCCGCATTTCTGTCCAACTATTTCTGACTGCAAAATGAGGTGCACCCTATTTTCGTCTAACCGTATTTTGGGATCCCCCCACAACCTGACAGTTATCAAGCCAAGCCCTCCGGACACAAAACAGGCTCGGTGAGATTCTGCGGTCCTCTGTAAACATTTACACCTTTTGGAAACTTTTGGTGGAAAGGTGGAGGCCTTGACTCTTTAAAGATTAAAGATTTTTCCTTGTTCCTTGGTTTGGAGGCTCCAAAAGATCCCAAAATGGCCACTGTAATTTTAAATTATCCCGGGTTATCTTGCCAGCTATTCACAGTTATCTCCCTTTTAGAGGGGGCTTTATCAAGGTGGCCACAACAAACAAGGTCTGATAGTGAGGTAGTGGGAGCAGCGCCCGCAAGAATAATCAAGGGGTCGGCTCTTTCCCTTATGTGTCCCGGCACCCACAAAGTTCAGGTGATGTAAGCCCCGGACGAGCTGCCACTGCCGATTGCCTCACCATGAACAATGAGGGCCCAGTAAGATACGTTCTTCAGGAGGGGTCCCTATGAGGCCGTTGCACATCATGGGCAGACAGCCTGACACCTCTGTAAAGTCCCCAGTCACCTGGGAACGTCCCAAAGGACGAGAGGGAACAGTGCCTCCTTCTTCCGAATCAGAAGACTCTCATAAGATTAGTCTAAAAGGCAGTTTGTTACCGTCATGGAGAAACTCAGTCCCCAAGCAGCCAATTTTAACAAATAACACAGTCAAACATAGACAAACATGAACAGATAAAGAAATCCAATCTCTGGGACTCTAACCCAGGGTACTCGGGGACCCTACCCTGGGGTTCGGGACTCTAACCCGATCCTTTTGAGCCCCAACGGCTGTAACCTTTATATTGTCTTCCACAATCCTAGCCTTGGGATTTTAACCCAGCAACCAAATCTCATCAGTGGGGCCTCTAACCCACAATCCTGACAAGATATTAGACAATTTTAGGCAGAGGCGCATCTTAACAAGGTCATTCACCCGAATCCAAAAGACGTCTGATCCTGGAGCTCTTTACAGACACAAACACAGACACAGACAAACTAGACACTGGTTCCTAGATTCTGGGTGAAGTCCTATGCCTCTTCCCACTCTGGCAGGGCACCCTATTTACCAGATAGTCTCCCTTCTCAAAGAGGGGACCCCAGATGGAGGGGAAGGAAAGTTCTCAGTGGTGGACCCCTGAGGTGACTTACCCTACTCCAGATGTGAGCCCGTCAACCCACCAGATGTAGCCATTTCTCATCCTACCACATCAGCGTTAGGAGGCAGCCGGTGTCGGTACGGGAGAGCAGATAGGGCAGATCCCCAAGACAAAGAGAGCCTCGGCAGCCACTAGGGACTCACCCATCAGGCCGCCCATCCGAGGTCAGCTGGCCAGGAGCAGGACTTAACGTCCCATCTGGGGTACCAAATTGTTACTGCCCAACGTGGGGCCTTCTGCTGGCCACAAGACATGCCAATAGTCAAGAGGCAAGGTGGTAGGAGAAAAAGGACTTTTTTATTACAGCTTGCTAGCAAGAGGGAAGATGGCTGACTCATGTCCAAAAGAACCATCTTAAGGGGGCACAAAATCTTACAGCAGTTATATAGGCCACTGGGTTATTGGGGAGGGGGTTAGGAATGTTGACCTTCTGGTGTTACAGACTGGGAGTCACCACACCAGATCTTTCAGTTTTCATTGATGGTGGCTATCAGCATAGACTCTCTGTTCGGGGGTCATCACATTCCTAAGGAACTCAAAAGAACAAAGTTATCATCTTATTGCAGCTGGGAGGTACATGCGCAAGCAGGGGTCGTAATATCTACAGAGCAGCTAGCTCTCCTGGAGGGTGCATATCCACCTGGGTTAGTTTGTCAGAGGTCATTCAAAGTTACAATAGGGTTTCTCTTTTCTGCAATATAGCTTCCCTTATGTCGACCTTGTCTTGAGCCAGTATCAGTTTCACGCTTACACGTAGATCTTTGATCCACTTGGAGTTAATTTTTGTGTATGGTAAGAGGTGTCGGGCTCCACCTCCGTTCTTCTGCATGTGGATATCCAGTTTCCCAGCACCACTTGTTAAAAACACTCTCTTTCCCTTCTGAGTGGATCTCACACTTTTGCCAAAAATCGGTTGACCATAAATGTATGGGTTTATTTCTGGACTTTCTATTCCAGTCCATTGGTCCATATGTTTATCCTTATGCCAGGACCACACTGTCCTGATTATTGTAACTTTGTAGTAAGTTTTGAAGTCCGGAAGTGTGAGTCTTCCTGCTTTGTTCTTCTTTCTCAAGATTGTTTTGGCTACTCTGGGTCTCTTGCATTTCCGTATATGAACGTTAGATCACCTTGTTAATTTCTGTAAAAAAGCCAGACTGTGCTACTTTTACATCTGGTTTTTTTGTTTTCTTTCTGGCCTGTAGATTTTCTTTTATGCCCTTCCCTAGGTGCCAGGCCAGCCCCTCCAGGGAGACAGAGCTAGAACAGCGCTGGAGAGTGAGTCTTGGCTGCTTCGTGCATGCACAGACCACACTGGCCCCAGTGAAGGTAGCCCCAGCGGGCGCTTGTGGCTGAGCACTGCCAGGCTTCTTAGCTCTCCGCCTACCCGGCCTCTTGCCAAGTCTTGGCTGGAGGTAGTTCACCCTGTCCTCAGCAAGGCGGAGGTGGCGCCGGTGGTAGCAACCGTGAAGGTGATTAGAAAACAGCAGAGTTTAACTGAATGCAGAACTCTGTGCCCACTTCCAGATTCTGTTTCTGCTCTTTTTGCAAAAATGTCCAAGTTACACTGTGGTTGTGCTTACCAGGTCACCACCTCTGCCACTGAGCCCAGGGGTCCCAGCTGCTGCACAGCCATGCAGTCCTGTGTGATTGGGCAGTCATGGTGACAAGAGCGCCCTTCCACCCGGCACCATGGCAGAGACTGTGAGAACCACTTCACACATATCCTTCCATTAAAACCTCACACACCCAGGGTCGGGGGGGAGTTCTCTTATAGTTATTCCCATTTTACAGATCAGGCAACCGAGGCACAGATAGCTTAAGCTTATTTCTTTAAGGATCTGAGTTGAAAAGTGGGGAATGGTATGTGCAGATGAGGAGAGATTTTAACCACTATGCTCTGCTGCCCCTTTAAGGTGTGGGCCCCTTCATGCTTAATTTCTATCATTTCATCAATCACAACAGCATAGGCCCTCATCTTCCTGGTAGGGCTGCCTTCTTGGGTCAGTGCCCAGGATTTCTCAGGGTCAAGTTCAGCAGAAGCCTTATTCTACAAATAGCCAGGAGTGAGGAGTGAGCCTGCGATGAAGTGTAGACACATCACTGCCTTGTGCTGCATTTATTCCTGGTTGAGTTGGAAGCATAGCTGCCCAGGGGAGCATTTCAGGAATCGCCCAGTCTTCCTAGCTGTATCTGAAAGCTTTCTTTCATTAGGATGACTACTACCCAACATATTTGGGTTACTCTCAGAGGCCCCATTATTGATGCTTTCCCACGGGACCCATGAGTGGCGGCAGAACTGTTTCTCCTCCCTCCCTCTAGGGTGTTGGAGAGGACATGGGACCATCTTAGAAGCCTTTGTTTCCCCCAAAGAAGAGAATGGCCAGTTGGTAGCTACTTAACTTTAAAGATTTTATTTATTTTTTGCCCCCAAAGCCCCAGTAGATAGTTGTATGTCACAGCTGCACACCCTTCTAGTTGCTGTATGTGGGACTCGGCCTCAGGATGGACAGAGAAGTGGTGCCTCGATGCGCACCCGGGATCCGAACCCGGGCCGCCAGCATCGCAGCGCACGCACTTAACCACCAAGCCACAGGGCCGGCCCCGCTACTTAACTTTAAAAACTCCCTTGCCTTTCCCTAGCCGCCTGGAAGGAGACATCAGACTGTCTGTTCCCCAGATGTGTTTCTTAGACTTTGTTGTTCAGACTGGTGGTCTCCAAACATTTTTTATTCGACATGCCTGTAATGAAAAATGTCAAGCACACACATGCACATATATATATTCATGTAGTAAACTATCTATATATGAATATACAGGTATATTATGCTCACTATAAAAATATACAAAAAAATTAAACATTTTATAGGATGTCCTTTATTCTGGTGGATCTGATCTAAACAATCTTAGCCAGATTAAAAGTCAGTTCTTCCCCTGACCCTGTCTCTTATCCCACCATACCCTTACAACTCTCTGACAACTCCCTAACCAAGGAGGCAGGTTTAATCCAGTATTATGTATTTGGTAAATATACGTTCTTCTCGCAGGCTTATCCAGAACCAGATCACAGCCAAGGGAGTTGCCCAGCTGGCGGATGCATTACAGAAGAACACTGGCATAATGGAGATTTGGTAAGACCCGTTCACCACTTGCTGTAATAATAGTACCAACAATGATTACTTAGTCAGGACCATTGACTGTGTGCCAGTCACAATGTAGGGCAATTTCCATTTATTCCTCGTCTTTCCAACAATCCTGTAAAGTAGGTGGTATTATCTCCACTTCACAGATGTAGAAACTGAGGCCCGGACTGGGGAAGTGAAACTTGCCCAAGGTCACAGCTAAGAGGAGATGCTGGAATTGGGCCCAGACCGCTGACTGCAGAGTTTGTGCTCTCCTGCCCAGCACCCTGTCCCGTCTACCACCTGGGCTTGCGTGGGGGCAAACAGCCCCGGAAAGAGATTCTCACTGGAAGTGAATCACTCTGGGACTCACGAGACTGAGAGATGGACGTGCTGGTCCGGAATCTGGGGCTCGTTCTTCCCCGTCTCTGGGCTTCCCGGGCTGCAGGAGACACTTCCAGGCTGGATTTGAGCTGATTTGTTCTCTTTCTCGACTTCCTGTTTCTGCTTTGAGGACTCACTCACGGGAGTGGAAGGAAACCACGTCAGCTGCTTTACGACGACACCGAGCCCCATTCCACTTTCCTTCCAAGACACAGCCCCGAGGTGGGGCTGGCCTGGAGACTGTGCAGGGGTTTTCTGTCGGTAGCTACAGTTACAGCAGCGGTGTAGGTGCCGGGGACGTGGCAGTTAACCGGACAGAAAGGGCCCTGACTGCTTGAGCGTCCTGAGGAAACCCACTGAGAACAGAGGGCCCTGTGTCCCTGAACCCAGGCTCCCAGGTGCTCTGGAATTTGTTCTCTACCTCCGCCTGGCCGGAGACAGCCCTGCAGAGCATGAGGCTCTGACCCATGTGGAGAACTCAGCAGGGGGCAGAGCCGGGCCCCTTGAGGACACAGACCACAGGAGCTCACGCTCCCACTGTGACTCCCTGAGATCGGCGGAGCAGCCTCACTGTGAACCCAGACGCTCAGCTTGGGGGGTAGTTACTCATTAACTACTTTCTTTCTTATGGCTGGGGAGAAGAATTTTACAGCTAAAAAAAATCAATCGAGGTCCAGCTCCCTGAGCTCGGTGCCTAGAACAGTGTTTTCTAAACTTTGCTTTGGAACTTGTTAGTGGATGATGAAATCACTTTGGGGGGGTTGCAACCAGCATTAGTTAAAAAATGAGATTGAAAAGAACAGAATAGCAGAGCACACTGTGCAAAGTATGAAGTATGATTTCATACTCTTATTTCAGGTGTGCGTGTGTGTGTGTGTGTGCGTAGATGCTGGTTCACAATGTAAAACGTAACTCGTATTTGGGAGTCACAGGTCAAAAAAACTTGAAAAACACTGTCCTAGAGAAGAAGACTGATGGAGGATACTGTGGTATGTGTGCAGCGAAGCCGAGCCCCTCCTCAGCTGGGAAGGCAGTGGGGAGCTCGCAGGATTTCAGTTTGCATTCATCTCCAGCCACCTTCACCTCTATGATCCCCTCCCTAGAAGCACTCCATTTCCTGCTGATCCTGTTGTTTGAGGACAGCAGAGCGGGAGGGAAGGGGGCGGGCCAGGCTGCAGGACGGTTTGCAGGCGACAGTTGGCCTCCACTTTTCTCAGAGGTGGGTTAGGGCAGTCGTAAGGCCACGTAGCTGCTTTAATTCTGTCAAGCTTGAAAATGCATTTGCGGCCTCCCAAGGACCACTGTTCCTACCTACACAAGCTGCTGTTTGTGCAGCGCCAGGGGTCTGGCTTCAAGGCGTGCTATCCAGAGCCTGAAGGAGGCACTTGTGTCGGGGGTGGACTCAGAGAGAGGGCAAGGGCAAGGGCTCAGGTGCTGGCCCAGGAGCGTCTTCACTTCAGGCCATGGCTTGTCCCATGTGTGTGACTTCATGGGACCAGGCTCTGCAGGGGTCCTGGCCATGTCGGCCCTGTCCGGGGGCTGCCACACCAGGCAGCAGGGCTGTTGTGGTCGAGCTGGCAGGGGAGCAGGGAGGAGCTCTGCCTGATGGACCATCTCCATGGACTCATTATCTGTACTGACATTTATTTCTACCTCGTCCCTATCCAAAAAGAACGTGAAGTCTGAAGTCCCTTAGTGAGTTCTGCCTTCAAAGACAGAAAGTAGAAGTGGTGAATGACCTGGCATTGTAAGTTACAGCATTTATCACACTCCATTGTAACAGCTTTCCTGAGGCTGTCTCCTCCAGACTGGAGCTCCTTGAGGGTAGGTCCTGTGTCCCGGTCACTGCTGTGTCTCCAGGGACTAGCGCTGCATCTTCATCCATTTGTTGAATAACCAAGTGCTTGAGTGCCAGGCACTGTGCCAGCACCGAGAACCCCGTGGTGAACACAACGGACCTGCCCTCATGGGCTTACCATGTAGTGAGGGAGACACACGGTAAAGAAAACAATCATTCAAGTTAATATTAATTATAATCGTGATGAGTGCTGTAAAGGGGAAGCTAAGAAGGGAACCTAATACAGATGAGGTTCAGGGAAGGTCTCCCTAAGGAAGTGGCATTTCAACTAAGCCATGAAGGATGAATAGGAGTTAGTCAGCTGGGGTGGGAGGGAAAGTGTTCCAGGTAGGGGGAAGCACATGCAAAGGCTCTGAGGCAGGCAGTAGCATGGTGTCCTTGAAGAACAGCAAGAAGCTGATGTGCCCTGGAGTTCAGACAGTGTGGAAGAGGGGGCAACAGGAGGTGGAGGAGATGGGCAGAGACGAGACCATAAAAGATCTGTGGGTCACGTTACATATTTTGGTCTTTATCCTGAAAGCAATGGAAAAGTCATTGAAGGGTTTGAAGCAAAGTGGGAAGTGATCAGATTTGCATTATAAAAAGACCTCTCTGGCTCCCCTAAGAAAATGGGTTTGAGGAGGCCAGAGTACATGTAAAGGGAGCAGTCAGTAGGACATTGCAGAGATCCAGAGATGAGATGATGGTTGCTCAGACCAGGATGTGGTGGTGAAGATATGGAGAGGTTCCAAGGAGGCCTTCTAGGGATGTTTAGGGAGTAAAATACAACTTTGTGATAGAACTTTGGAATATGGAGATGAGAAGGAAGGTGTCAAGGTTGATCCCCAGGTTAGTAACTTGCACAACTGGATGAAGAGTGGTACCCCTCAGAGACCTAGGGAACCCTGGGGAGATGTGGCCACTTTGAGGTGCCTGGGACACGTCCAAGTGAAGATGTCAGGTAGGTCAGTGGCTCCTGAGCAGAGAGGTCTGGGCTGCAGGTCACTGACGTAAGGATGAGGCCAAAGCATAGATGACGTCACCTGGAGGGAATCCATTATTTAGAGGTCACATGGAGGAGAATATGGTGAAGGAGACTGAGATGGAGTGGCCAGATTTAGGAGAAAAACCAGGGAGCATAAGATCAAGTCAGGGGAAGGTAGTGTTTCAAGAAGGAGGGAGAGGGCTGGACAGCCTGTGAAGGTCAAGAAAGACAAGGCCTAAAAGATGTCATTAAATCCAGGTTCATAGAGGCTATTGTTGACCTTAGTGAGACCTGGTTCATAGGGTGATGGTAGCTGGAAAGGATTAATATTAATATCAGACAAGTATTCAAATAGAGCGCCTCCCTTCATTTCAGGGTCGTGTGAAGCACAAGAGGGTGTTAGGAACACAAGCTGGGAAGAACGTACGGCAGTCCCTAACATTTTACTTGTGTTCTTTTTTTTCCAACAGCCTAAATGGAAACTTGATAAAGCCAGAAGAAGCCAAAGTCTTTGAAGATGAGAAACGGATTGTCTGTTTCTGAGAGGATGTTGTCCTGTTCGTGGGTCTCGGCCCTGGGAGGCTCCCTGGCAGCAGACTCCACTATGCAATCACCTGTCTTGGCTGTCTGAAAGGGCTCTGCTGAGACGGGACCCTCAGGAGCCCACTGTCTTCGTGATGCAAATCACCCTCCATGCGGACGCTCTGATTGGCCAACTCTGAGCAGCTGTTACAATTTTGCAGGAAAAGCGTGTGCCTTGTGCGCCGTTTTAGTTCCTGTCAGTATACTAGGAGAGACGTTAATGCACATCCATGCTTATTTTAATCTGAAACTGGAGGAATAAGACTTTGAGCTCATACAAACACCTGCCCTAAGGGCCAGCGGGCGTGAGTTGGTCACAGCTGTCTTCATTGAAGAGTTGAGGACGTGGTGCAAAGTTGGTGCCAATCTTCTTGGAGAAAAAGTGCTCAACGAACAGGAAGTGTTTTACCTAAAATAGTCTCTTCTTCCTCAGTACTTCCCCATGTGTTATTATTCCCACTTTACAGCTGTAGATACTGAGGTGTTACAGTGTGGGGATTTCACTTACGGGAGGTTTTATAGGGAGATGGTGTTGAGAAAAGGACTCATCACAGGCTTTTTAGTCCTGGAGTCTCATTGTCTGCTGACAGCGATCACTGGATGCCCTCTTAGCCAGTCTAAGAGAAAGGACGATGCCTTCGTAATGTCGAGTTTCCACTCAGGGCTTTCGCCTGGCTAGGCTGACCTCCTCCTGAAGGCTAATACATGGGCAAAGGGGCTCTGCCCTGAAGGAAGAATTAATGCCCGTCCTCCAGAAGGAATAAGGCATAGCTTGCCCTTGTGGCCCTGGCATCCAAACAGAAGCTTCTCTCTCTCTCCTGCCTTCTTGAGGAAGGGCAGTCTCTTCCTGCTGCTGAGTAGTTGTGAGGGTGACTGAGTTGGAGCCAAGACTCAGGCTCCAGCTGAGAACCTGGCTAGCACGCGTGATGGACACCTACTACCACAGTGGGCACGTGGATGCTAAAGGGGGAAGGGTGGTGATATTACCAGATAACTTGTTCTTTTGCCAATTCATTTGTTAATAAAATACTGAAAACACTCACTATTTCTAATTGCCTGAGTCTGGGGTTTTTCAAATCACGCTCTGATCCCAGAACCCCATGCTTGACTCCCTTGGGAGGCACGCACTGCATTGGGTGGGGCCCTGGGGTGACGTGCTGTGGGGAGATCCTGATGAAGGAAGGCCACAGGCATCGTCAGTTTGATCCTTTGCAGGCCTCTCCACCTAGCAAGGGACCAAAAAAAGCCGAGGAAGCAACTGAAGCCTCTCCATCTGATCTCCGAATCCATACAGGTGGCTTCTCACAGGAAACGAACCGGGGTGGCTTGGGCCAGGATACGCTGGCATGGGCCAAATTTCAGGACCCTTCCACTGTGCCATGGTAGGTCCCGGCAGGCCAAGTTCAATGTCCACTACCCTCCTTGGCTGTTTGTTGCTGAGTGGAGGACCCAGGTGGGCCTGTCACCCACTGTGGCAAGAGGCACCAAGCTGATAGAGGCCGAACTTGAGGGGGGAAGAGGGGAGGGGACCCTCCAACTGTACCTCAGAGTCCTCGGACGTCCAGCCTGGGTTTGTACAGCAGCCCCTGTGAGGAAGAGTGCAATGCAGGAGGTAGCCCTGAAGGTTAAGGGGAAAATCCTATACAGTCATTCAGCCACAGGGCGGCCATTCCCCTAAGGCACTGCTTTGGGGGTTCCTACCCACCCCTCCCCTCACCCCAGATCTGGGGATTCACCTAACAGTCACCCCCTGAAGCAGCAACTCTCTCCCTACCAGAGAATCTGGGCAGCAAACATGCCCAGAAAGCACAAAGGAATGAATGGGGTAAGCTGAAGGCCAAGGGTGCTAGGACAGGCTTCAGACTTACCAGGTGAGAGACCCACACTTCTCAGCTGACAAATTCATATTTTATTAAACTGCTAAAACTAAACTTTTGAGAGCCTAAAATTTACTCAGAAACTACTAAATATTACTGCTTTTAGAGACTATCAAAATTAAAACTGCTGCCTCTGAGGGAATTAGAATTTGTGTGGTGGCATTGGCTTCAATTCTATTTGGAAATAGTTTTGTCTTCTAGATGGTGAACGCTAGACTTTTTAGTTCCTTATAAAGATGAAATCAGGCTCCCCATTTACTGGAAAGGTTCTCCTTTATCCACAGGTAAGCTCCTGTGCAGAGAAGTGGAGACTTTTCCTAATCAAGAAAAAGACAATTGAAAATTGAAAGAAAAGATAAAGAATCCCACAAACTTGGGATATGACTGTTTCTTCCCATGGATATCTTGGTTGGTTTTGGGAAAGAAACTACTGCTCCCATATTTCAGACCTGCATTTCTGACATGTCCATGCTGATTTGGAACCTATGAAAAAAGCCACGTCGGGGCCGGCCCCGTGGCATAGTGGTTAAGTGCACGTGCTCCGCTGCTGGCGGCCCGGGGTTCGGATCCCGGGCGCGCACCGATGCACTGCTTGTCAGGCCATGCTGTGGTGGTGTCCCATATAAAGTGGAGGAAAATGGGCACAGATTTTAGCTCGGGGCCAGTCTTCCTCAGCAAAAAGAGGAGGATTGGCATGGATGTTAGCTCAGGGCTGATCTTCCTCACACACACACAAAAAAAGCCATGTCAAGTCAGTGTGTGGCTTTGGGCCAGGTCCTAAGACTGTCAGAATCTCAATTTCCTCCTTGAAAAATGGGAATCCTAGAGGACTGACTCACAGGCTTGTTGTGAGGATTAAAGGAGCTGATGCATGGAAAGCTGTGCCCAGCACAGGGCCACTGCTCCATATCCGACAGTTATTATGAAACCCACGTTTCTCATCTCTGCTCACAGTGGAACCCCCAGGTGGCTCTATTCTCACACTCAGGCCTAGGGAACTTCCCAACAAGGTCAAATATGAGACTAGAAGTTCTCAAAGTCAAGTCCAAAAATATTCACTTTGGGGGCTGGCCAGGTGGCGTAGTGGCTGGGGTTGCATGCTCTGCTTTGGCGGCCCAAGGTTTGTGGGTTTGGATCCTGGGTGTGGACCTACGCACTGCTCATCAAGCCACGCTGTGGTGGCATCCCATATATAAAGTAGAAGAAGATTGGCACAGATGTTAGCCAATCTTCCTCACAAAAAAAAAAAAAATTTCACTTTGTCAGTAAAAAGCATAGCTGTCTGTTGTCATCATTCTTACCACAGAGCCCTACCATTTAAGCGTTCCTCATTAACCAGAGGGAGCACGTCCATGTCTTCACGGCACAGTACAGAACAGAGCAGGAGCCAGCACCAGCATACAAGCTGAGGCCCATGAGCCTCTGCCAGGTGTCCTTGTCAACTCCTGAACTTGGTAAGGAGCATTTGGCTCCTTGATATTTTGATCCTCTTCCAGGTGTGGCACATGTTTATTTCCAGTAACTAATTCCTCACTTACAAAAAAAAACCTTGCTGTGGAGCTGAAAGGCAAAACCATGACCATTATCCCAGGTCCACAGAGAGGAATGTTAATGGAAGTGGAATTAGCTCGTGAGGAGGCCGCGGTTCACGTGGCCACACAGATGGGCTTGTAGCAGAGCTGCAGGGCCCAGGGCCCATCCCTGCACGATTCTCCCAGCCTGAGAATTGAATTAACTGCACCCAAGACCAGCTTAAAACTTTTAGAGCACTAAGCACTGGAAAGGTTATAGGCCCCCACTGATCGATAATAAAAAAAAAATTTAAACTGTAATAAATTATAAAATAAAATAAGTGCAAGGATGTTAAACAAGCTCCTGATTTTTTCCTGTGACTACTTGGGTGCTTTTTTGGGCAAATAAGCTGCAGAGCCAACAGCTTCCTCACTGGCCACACATCCTCCATCCCCCAACCATGGAACTGGACCAAAGGAAGTAGATGCATTCCAGAGGGCTGGAGAAGGTCATAGGCGGATGATTTTCATCACAAGAGGGCAGCATGTGTCCAGCAATTAATCCGTTACATAAGTGGCCCAAGGATTCAACTGTGCAGGGGGCCTGGTGGCTGACACATTGTTCTATTCAAGTAAGACTCAATCCAAAGTACATGGTGTTGAAAGCAATTTCATCTTAAACCCATTCATCTGTGAGTTCAAAGACTGGTAGAGGGAGAGTTGGCCCTAAGACACACTAAAGAGCAGTATTACTGTAAGTTCTCTGGGTCCTGAGGATCTGGGTTCAAATCCCAGTGCTGCCAGTGGCTGTGTGACCTTAGACAAGTGACTTAGTTTTTCTGCTCCTGAGTTTCCCATCCGTAATAATAGTGCTCCCCTCGCAGGGCTGTTTTGTTATGAGGAGTAAATTAATTAATATATGTAAAGCACTTGGGGCCGGCCTGGTGGAGCAAGCAGTTAAGTGTGCGCGCTCCACTGTGGTGGCCCAGGGTTTGCAGGTTCAGATCCCGGGCGTGCACCTACGCACCGCTTGTTTAAGTCATGCTGTGGCGGCGTCCCATATAAAGTAGAGGAAGGTGGGCATGGATGTTAGCTCAGGGCCAATCTTCCTCAAGTAAAAAGGGGAGGATTGGCATCAAATGTTAGCTCAGGGCTAGTCCTCCTCTCACTCACACACACACACACACACACACAATATATATATATATGTAAAGCACTTAAAACAGTACTGACAGTGGTAAGGGCTCCAGAAACAGTAACTCTTGTTATCTAATCAGACCTTCTCCCTCCAGCACTGCCTTAATGAGCATCAGGGATAAAGCAAGAGAAGAGAGAGTCTGTGGTGGGCCATCCTTCCTATTCTTAAGAGCCCCTCCAAAACAACATCGCCATTTTCAAACTGACAGCAAACTCTAGACTTTTAAGCAGCCCAGAGACCAGAAGCCATTTCCAAGGCTGACTACCTGTGGGATAAGAGCTAACCATTCGCTATACTTGCAGTTGTCTTCATTTTTATTTTGTTAAGGAACTGCATATCCAGAAGCATGGATTAGGAAAGCCAAAAACATATTTGCATTTTGATTTGATTTTGCAGATATTAGAGTGTATTGTCTGGCTTTCCACACTAAAGTCATGTGGCTGAAGGTCATTTCTTTGATGTCAGCATGTGGCTCTC